AAGATTGGTAAAATAACCTGAGGGGACAGGAGGTAAAAAGCGATGTGATGTGTAACTATTTAGGATTTGTCATGCACTGCAGGATAAGGTGGTAGTTGCGAATTCAGCAATAGTGTCTGACAGGAAATTAATATGCAAAGAAAACAATTTACAGCATGAAGTGACAGGGCAGAGGGGAGAAATTACTTCATCCCTTCACTAAATGAGAAGATGGTATTTGTTGCTGAAATCCATCTATTTGATCATAGAAGCTTGTGTAACAATTGCCCTCTTTCCCCTTTATCTGCAATTTGAATGCGCCCTCAAAGGCTTGTGTTTATTGGGAGCTTAGGTGCAAATGTGAACAAAATTGAATATCAATTTGTTTGTCATGTAGCGAAATATCTTGTTTGATTCCAGCCCAACGTTAATCAACGAAGTTGCCAGCTTGGGCTTCAAATCAAGAGTAAAGGCAGCTTTAAGTCTGATTGTTTTGTTTTCGTATTAAATTTGATCTTTCTGTAGCCATTGGTCTGAATCAGAGGATTGCAGCGATACCTGAGGCGTGTAACCTAATTCCCTGCTCTTGATGCTTAATGCCCAGAAGGTAGAAAGGCAGACACCACGATGCGGAGGGGGTGGTAGGTTGAGTGTTGTCGATTGTTTAAGCATTTTCACTGAGCCCAAAAATAATTGTTTGATTTACACCAACAAAAGATACTTTGATCTTCAATTACAGTAAGCAATTTTAAACAATACACTCCCGGAACACCGGTTAACAGTCCTATAGAGTAACGGCTTTTGGTCCCTGTTCCACATTTGACCTTACGAGATTTTGTGTAAAGAGGTTGTGTAGATTGTACTGGGGCGCCTGTGGTATTAGTCACCCTTGAATTTAATTCATTTCTGATGGCTGGATAAATAATGGCGGAACTGCCTTGTTAAAATCCCTCTTTAGATAGGAGGACTGGAAATTCCCACTTATGTCCAAATTAGGCCCACAAAGCTGCTATGGTCACGCGTTAACTAAATTTAGAATTTCAATTTTTTTTCGGTTTCGACCAGTTTTGGTCCTTGTTTCTCGATTCGCGATTGCGAAAGGGTTAATTTGCTGCACTTTTCACAACTAAGTTGTGCAGATACATGTTCTGTCTCTTTTCCACATCTGGTTTGTTTAAAACATGGCTACAGTTACTAAACATGCCTCGCCCTGCCTAAAAAGGAGTGTCAGATTGTGATACAATGGGGCAAAAGTGTAAAACCCACAACCAGTCTTTGAGGTCAGTCTTGTTGCTGTTTTAGGGAGTGTTCCAGTTTCTGGAAAGGGCGGGGTTGAAGATTAGCTTTCTGCATAGTCATTGCTTAGAGACAGGACTCTTTTTGTACTTGTGGTCAGGTGGTTGTTATATCCGCCGTTGTATGAGATTTCTCTTTCAGAGAGTCTGTCGTCAGTCATTCTGTAACATGGCTCAGAGCGTCAAGTCGTTTTACGACCTCAGCGCCGTCACTCTGGACGGGGAGAAGCTGGATTTCAATGTCTTCAGGGGCAGGGTAGTCCTGATCGAGAACGTGGCCTCTCTCTGAGGCACGACCACAAGGGATTTCACCCAACTCAACGAGCTTCAGAACCGGTACCCGAACCGTTTCGTTGTACTGGGCTTCCCTTGTAACCAATTCGGGCATCAGGTGAGAATCTACCATTTCCAGATGCAAACCAGCCGAGTCACCATGACATGTGCTTCCTAACTTCCCCCGGACCAATCCTCTCAACTCCTTAAATGTAAAGTGAACTTGCTCGATTTAACCGAGACATTTTAGTACAAACCTACTTATTATGGTAAAGTCTATGCTCATTTTTTTAAGCCATCGTAATTTTCTGACTTCATTCAACGGTTGTTCTGAGGGTTAGTTAGATATACACGTTTGAGCGGAAATTCATACCACACGCTTTATTCAATAGTCCTTAAAAAGACACTGGGACTGGGTTTCGCTTCAACAATCACCGTGGAAAGTTACTGCAGTGATTCTGAACTTGGTTTCATTAGCCTGGTATCGCCCCGTTTTTTGTTTAAACGATACGTGAGGGTGGATAACCGTGTTCAAGGAAAAAACGAGTGTTTATTTCTGCATTATTTCCTCGATCTGGGTGTAGACAGCAACGCCCAAAGCAGCCTGCCCCCTTCCGTCTTTGAAGTGTGAATTTAGATGAAAACTATTTTAAAATTTAGTAAATATTCAATCATTACACTCAAATGTTTTTCTTTTCTACAGTGTGATCTTTACTCAGACTCATGGCAGTCGCCGAAGCTCAATTTCCTGTAAAAATTACTCAGAATTTTTGTGGTTTTGTTTTAATAGAATGGAAAAATTTCTTCCCATGAACTTTTTAGCATACATTTTTTTTTGGAGGGGTCAAGAATTGATATCCTCTTTTTCAATATATATATAATGTTTCTCTATTGCAGCTTCAAACTATTAAACATTGCTGACCTCAGTTTGTGAGAAATTGTACAGAACTCTGTGCACTTTTATAGAATAATTTATGCAGTTATTTTCTGGGACATATCTTAAAGCCCACTGTTTGTCTTGGATCACCACTCTTAGTCTTTCCCTCGCCCCCACCCGAGTATTGAATATTTAGCCCTGTCATCTGGGTGCTGCACATTTTAGTAACACGATCCAAAAGTTACCTTGCTGCCACCTGTCTCAATGACTCTAATGTTGCTAAATTTCAGGGCTGCTGAGATCCAGTACCAGATGAGCAGAAATTTCCTCCAGTTAAATGTTGGGGAGACTGAAGCTCCAGACCCCATTCTTTAATGACTAACTTTATTGCTCTGCTTAGTAATAATCTGAGATTAAGGTGGTGTATTCACATTCTTCATCTCATGTTTGGCCCTATTTGTATTCATGCCATCACACAGACCAATCAACTCTCCTCTCCGTATCATCATTCAGCTTCATCCTATCTCAGCTTATACAGTCATAGCCATACTGCATGGAAACAGACCCTTTGGTCCACTTGTCCATGTTGACCAGATATCCTAAACTGATTGAGTTCGATTTACTTCATATCCCTCTGAACCATTTCTATTCATGTACCCATCCAGAAGCCTTTTAAGTGCTGTAACTGTACCTGCCTCCTCCACTCCTTGCAGCTTGTTCTAGACACGTGCCACCCTCTGAGTGAAAGTTGCCCCTCAGGTCCTCTTTAAATCTCTACCCTCTCTAGTTTTGGATTCCCCCATGCTCGGAAGACAACCTTAGCTATTTATCTTATCTCTGTCCCTTTATGATTTTATGAACATCTATAAGGTAACCCCTTAGCCACTGATTCTCTGAGGGAAGAAAAGACCCAGCCTGTTGAGCCTCTTCCTACAGTTCAAACTCTCCAATTTTAAGTGCACGTTGCCTAAACTTTTCTGAACCTTGCTGAAATCCTCCTCTGCATTTGTTATTTGCCTTTTTATACTTATAGTTTCAAAACATTCCTAACTGGTCTCCCAAATTCTAACCTCAATAAACTGTGGTTTGCCAGTGTCTTGACTTGTAGCAAATACCGTTCTCTTTTCACCATCCTGGAAGGTGTCTGCATTTTTCTATGTCTGACCTCGTGTGTGTCTCCAATTTTAGTTACCCCACTATTAGGGACTGTCTTCAGTTGCCTTGGTTCCGAGTTAGCCTACATTCTGCAACCTCCCTTTAAGATACTAATTATCACTTTGACTGAGCTCTAATCGTAGAATCAGAAATATTACAGTGTAGAAGGGGACTATTTGACCCATCATGCTTGCACTAGCACTATCTAGTCAGGCACTATATAATAGAGCCATTCTCCCTGCCTTTTTTCCATATCCCTCCACATCTTTATCCAAAAATCCAGATAATCTCTTGAATGCCTTTCTAATGCCCTCTTGTGTGCCTGATTTGACCTCATATTGTTTGGGTCTGTCTTGAACCACAGCAGACCATGTGATGTAGGTACATGCACAGTGAGAATGGAGAAAATTCATGAATTTGATCCAGTGACTACTGGAGAATGACAATGTATTTCCAAATGAGAATGATGGGCAGCCTGGAGGAGAAATTGCAAATGATGACTTTTCCATGGTCTTATTTTCCTTGTTTTACTAGGTAGCAGAGATTGCAATTTTGGAAATCACCCAGAGGGTGGTGAGAATTTGGAACTCGCCCCCTTTTTTAAGGGTGGTTGAGGCAGAAGCTGTTAACATTTGAGAAATGTTTAGATGTGCACTTGCAATGTCAAAACATGCAAGGCTATGGGTTAAGTGCTGGAAAATGGGATTAGATGAGTTTGGTGCTTGTGGTTGTTGCAAACTCGATGAGCCAAAGAGCCATTCTCTGTGCTGATGACTGCATAACTATGATTGGGCCGTGTACGCTATCTTGAGAAACACCAGTGGACTAAGATGTAATTGTCTGTGTACAGTGCTAATGAAATAATTAAATCGGAAATTAATATTTGTTTTATGAATTTTGTTTGAATTTTTAAAACTCTTTAGGAAAACTGTCATAATGAGGAGATACTCAATTCTCTGAAGTATGTCCGTCCTGGTGGTGGTTTTGAGCCCAATTTCACCATGCTCCAGAAGGTTGAGGTCAATGGTGCTGGCACACACCCTGTCTTTGCATTTCTGAAGGAGAAGTTGCCCCTTCCTTCGGATGATGCTACGTCCTTGATGAAAGATCCCCAATTCATCACCTGGAGCCCAGTCTGCCGATCAGATGTCTCTTGGAATTTTGAAAAATTTCTCATTGGCCCTGAAGGAGAGCCTTTCAAACGCTACAGCAAAATGTTCCAAACCATCCAGTTGGAACCTGACATCAAAAGGCTTTTGAAAATTGCCAAGTAAAGAATCCAAGTTTAGTGGAAAAAGCAAGGAGGCAGGGTTCTATTTCCTTACACATTACCTTCACTAATGGGAAAACTGCAATAACCTCTTGGTTGACTCCTATCAATTTGGACTCTAAATACAGAATTTTTCTACAATCCACAAAATTTTAAAAGATGTTCTAAGATCTTTAGCCCAATCATTTGAGCTCCTTGCATAGCTTCCTGTTGTCTTGTCTGCCTTTGAAATTAGTCCATTGTCGTCTCATTTTCATCTTTGTATATCTCAGCTTGCTACTTGAGCTTATTTTTTTTTCCAAAAAGTATCATTCTAGTTGAATGTTGTTTTTCCAACATTTGGCATTTGATGTTTTTTTTTAAATCCATTAGTACAAATATTTTTCAAAATGTTTAGTCTTTTTTTTTCTTCCAACATGTTGTCAATCTCACTGTCTAGGCAGCTGGAAAATCAATCTGATTAGTATTTGCCCTAAAGTGAAGATAATTTGAGATTTAGTTTTGAGTTGATGGGATCTCCTGAATGTATTCTATGTTTACTGAAAATCTCACCTATAAAAGCAAACAAGGCAGTTTTAGTGGATTGAGTAACAACAGTAATGTAAAACGTGACACCACTTTAATATCCCAGTGCTTCCAATGAGTCAATCATCTGTTACACTTCAAAATTGTTCTGCATTAAGTTCCAAGAAGTGCCGAGGATTTGCTTTTGTCTGAATTTGTGGATCTTAGAAATAGGTCTTCTTCCTTTAGAAGTTTTTTTTAAAAACAGTCCTTCTGTTCTTCAGAACTTTATTAAATGAAGGCATCCTCCTAAATTCAATAAGGAAGCTGCCAGAAAAACCAGGAAAGTTGCTGAATTTTCAGAATGTTTACTGTTTGGAAATTTCTTGGGAGTGTAGATTTTGTGAACGAGAAATGAACAATAAAAGAATGTTCTGTTGAAAATAAAACACTTTATTTGTTTGTTTTTATTTTGTATAAGTTCTAGCAATTCAATGTACTCAACATTCCTCAAATTAAAAACAATTTACATTGATCAACTGTACTGAAATTGAACAGTCATTTTGGATGAACAAGCTCCTGCTTTTTTTATTATTTGAAAATTTGTCCCCTGAAACTGTACTTTGTTTCTCAAGACCTGCGTTGTAGCACAATAAATTCTTCATACATTTGATTAGTCTTCAAACTTTATGTGGAATTAATTAACATTAAATTAGCAAGAACAAATTGAATTCCAAAGCTACAAAAAAAGTGACCATGACTTCTTGCTGAATTGGCATATGCATCTTTCACCTTGATGTTCTCATAAAAGATAACATGTATTTGTCAGTTTTAGTTTGTTTTCAAATCAAAATTAATCTTGTACTACAGATAGCCAGTAATAGTTGTGGACTGCATTATGGAGGAAATGTAAAATTGTCTGAGCTGTAGACAGAAAATATGATCCATTCAAGGTGGATAATTAGATAAACACAGATATCTATCAGTACTGAAGCTGGTGACAGTTACAGCTTAGGCCCTTCAGCCTTTCTCCAAAGTAAAATTACTAATCTTCACCGCATAAACTTTGGACACAGGAACCAACAGATCCTCTGATTCTTGTCATATCTGGTAAGTAATGGGTACTTGGAATGAGTACTTGATTCAAAATTGTGCCACAATTTATTTTATCAAGCTTGTCAAAATAAATTTACAACGCTTGCACGTTGTTTACTTTTTCCTGAAGGTGTGGAGTCATGATTGTGAAAACTCATTTAATATTGCAGGTTTTTGATGAATAGTAAAAGGAAATGACTAATTCTATTAGTAGTGAAAAAGTTTTTTGTTTGTCTTGCAGATTGAAGATATAAAAGTGACAGAGTAATGGGAAATAGTAGAAATCATGCTTGATAAAATAGTTGTGTGAAATCCATTTCAAGAAATGTTTAGGTATGGTGACAAAATGTGAGCACCATTTTATTGAGTGATTTCCCATTAACAGTACTGAAAAGCAATCAGTCCAAAAACAGAAACTTTGTAAAAGTGATGTTGTTATGGACAATGAGCTATTTCTGCTTTTAACTCTTAATCTAAGCCATTTAGCTCATTATACACATTTCATATTTGAGCTTTATGAGCTCGCTCCCTTAGCAAATAAAGCTAAACTTTAAAAGAAACTAAAACCATTATGATGTATCTATAAATAAAGAGGAATGCGATAAAATTTCTAATGTGATGCAAAGTGTCATGAATAATACTGAAACATGCATTTTGAAAATATGCTATGGTACACTAAAATAAATCCAGTAATTCAAAAGTAAAGCATTGTAGAAAATGATTTACCTGGCAAATATGGTTAGCAGTGCAACAGGCATAGGACTGAAGCACAATTCAAACAACAATAAACATCAATCAGAAACTGAACCAGTTAATACTGTGACAGGGGCTCTTGTGGTACACTGGTAGTGCTCCTACCTTGGAGCCAGGAGCCTTAGGTTCAAGTCCCAACTACTACAGAGGTGAGTCATAAGACTGCAACAGGTTGATTTTAAAACAATCTGGAAATACTGTGGCTGCAAGTGCTGGTCAGAGGTTAGGAACCCTGGAGCAAGTGTTTTAGCTCCTACGTCCCAAAACCAGTACACCAGGCACAAGTATGGAGTGTGATGGAATACTTTCCACGTGGCTAGATGAGTGCAGCTCCAACAACACAAGAAGTCTGGCCTGCACACATTGTTTGATACTTAGACCCATCTTACGGGTGAGAAAGTGGAATCACTAATAATTCCATGCATCTCAATGGGGGGAAAAATGTGTCTGCTTTTTGGAGGATGCAGTGACATTCAAAGTTGTGACATGTTCACTGGGCAGCTCAGAGTAATGGGCTGGATTGAAGAGGTGCACAGAATACTGCCTTTTGCAGACTAAATGCTCTCATTGTGGGTGATCATGCAAAACAAGGCAATGTTGCAGTCTCTGTGCACCTCAAAGACTGTAGAGATGTGGTGAAGGTAAGGTCAAAAAGAACTTAATAAGGATTCATGTCAATCTGCTAGCTCTCATGAGAAAATGGACTACAGATGACTCATATGTCATAGCGTCACAGATGGATTTATAGCCAAATAAGATTAGCACTGTCTCACTGCTGCTTTCACCTTAATATTGATGCAGGGCAAGTTATGCACCACTAACAACATTGGTGAGACTGAAGACTTCATTCAGCTATTAAAAAAGGATAACAACATTATTCTGTTATACAAAAAGTGAAGAACAACCAACAAAGCAATTAAACATTTTATTTACACAATGCAGAGTCTTGCCTGTCAGATGAGCAACTTAGATGCACACTAATCCCAACAAATCCCATCCTGGAATCAATTACCAATTAGGTTGTGCCTGGCCATGTAGTCTTGGAAACATTGCTGTGTCTTCATCGCTCCAATGGGTCTCCTGGAAATTTCTTTAATCGCAGCCTCATCTTCACTTTCAGATGATTGGAGTCTTCCCTCCATTTCTTCTGAATTCAGGACATTCTTTTCCCTTCCCCCCCCCCTCCCCACCAAAGCTTGTATGTACGAAGAATCATAAAAAGAGGCATCTCCCAGGATATCTGGCGCAAACCCTCAAAATGTTCCTTCCATAGTCACAAATTAGCTGAACATTAGTGGACTGCAATCCTTACCTGTTCATTGCCTCCACTGGTTGATGATGCAGTGCTCTCAAAGCAATGCTGGTACCGTGGATAGTACTTTCCTGGGATAAACCAATGATGTTTGTGAATCCTAATGCCCTGCTGTTTGACTCTCATCATCAAACAGAAAGAGATGAAGAAAGGTCCCTCCTAAAAATGGCATCAGTGATATCCTAGATGCACATAAAAGTGAAAATTGACAGGTGCCACAGTCGTCCGGTTTCTCCCTGAAACAACCAGCTGGCAATAAAATAGGGCAACAGTTACTTTGATGGCCCCCAAGAATTGGAGATAACAAGGTGTAGAGCTGGATGAACACAGCAGGTCGAGCAGCATCAAAGGAGCAGGAAAGCTGATGTTTTGGGCCTAGACCCTTCTGAAAGATCTAGGCCCGAAACGTCAGCTTTCCTGCTCCTCTGATGCTGCTCGGCCTGCTGTGTTCATCTAGCTCTACACCTTGTTATCTCAGATTCTCCAGCATTTGCAGTTCCTACTATCTCCGGCCCCAAGAATGGGTTTGCCTCCCAGCCCCTGTGAGCACAAATCCTTTTCCAGCCCCTGGCATAGGTCTGAGATGATGATCAGGTCATTCTTCTGACAAAAGCCCTTCAACTCCCCCAACCATCTGATCTCACAACAGGACCCGATTGTAATCCGTAATCCTCAGACTACTTCTACTTGACTTCAAGGACTGATTGTGGCCAAATCCCCAGTCTGCATCGGCACAGATCTTAGACTTTTACAGCACCAACCATGTGACTGACTGGACTGAGACCGGCCCCTTGACTGACTGTGGTGGAGCTCCTGATGGATTGGAATATATCCCTTTCCCGTGAGAAATTCATTCCCTTTGACATCCACACATCATGATTTTCTTCAAGAAAATGCAGTTATGTTTACCACTTAAGCTGCTGGCACATGCTGCAGCTCTGATGTTGATAGAACACTTTGCTGTACAGCGACATATCCACTCCCTCTCTGACTTAAACATTTACTCTTCCGTACCTTTCCAACAGAAGCTGTTTGTCTTTCCTGCTGCACTAACAAGCAGGCAAAATCACAGAGGCTGTCTGTCTCTGACTCAGTGCTAAAAATCTTCTGCACTTAAAACCATGCTAAGACACAGAAAATGCCCTGCTCCAAGACAACACTTAATGACGAGATGCATAAGATGGCTGGCTGTCCCTCAATGTAAAATGACCTGGTACAAGCAGAAAAGTCCCTGCTCTTCCTCAGCTCAAAATTACATGCTTCAAATCTTCATGTTGTGCCTGAATTAGACTGAGAACATGTGTTTTAATGTTGTGACACTGATGCTTTGCCGATGCCAGGAAGAGTGTGGCCATTGACCATGGAGGCAGATGAAGCAATTCCATTCAATATGATCATGGCCGATCATCAACTCTGCACCCTATTCCTACTTTCTCCCATACCCTTTGATTCCTTTAGCCCCAAGAACTATATCTAAGTCCTTCTTACAAATATTCAATGCTTTGGCCTCAACCATTTTCTGTGGCAGAGAATTCCACAAGCTCACCATTCTCTAGGTGAAGAAATTACTCCATATCTCAGTCCTAAATGGCCCACACCATTTCCCCTTAGATTGTGACCCTGGTTCTGGACTCACCAGTCATCAGGAAAAGCCTTCCTGCATTTACCCTACATGTTAGAATTTTGTAGGTTTCTATGAGATCCCCCTCATTCTTCTAAATTCCAGTGAGTATAATCTTAACCAATCCAGTCTCTCTTCATATCTCAGTCCTGCCATCCCAGGTAAACCTTAATTGCCCTCCTCCGTAGCCAGAACATTTTTCCTCAGGTAAGGAGACCAAACCAATGCCCTGTACAATTGCAGCAAGACATTCCTGCTCCTGTACTCGAATCCTCTGGCTAAAAAAGGCCTTCTTCACCACCTGCATGTTTACTTTCAGAGACTGATATGTGGAACACCCAGGTCTTACTGCACCTCCCCGTTTACCAATCTATCACTATTCAGATAATAATTTGCCTTCCTGTTTTTGCCACCAAAGTGGATAACCTCACATTTGTCCATATTTCACTTTGCCATGCATCTGCCCACTCACTCAATTTGTCCAAATCACAACTGAAGCATCTCTGCATCCTCCTCATAGTTTACCCTCCAAACCAGCTTTGGATTATCTATAAACGTGGAGATATTACATGTAGTCCCTTCATATAAATGATTAATATACAATAGCTGGGGTTCTAGCACTAATTTCCTGCAGTATTCCACGAGAAACAGACTGCCACTCAGAAAAT